ATTAATGGGTGGGTCGTCTAGAAATATTTTATCATCTAAAATGCTGTTTTAACTTTCAAAAGTATTCCTAATATTCGAAAATGTGCTCTGTCTCTTTTCAAAGATTTTCAAACGAATTTGAATTATAATTTCATTTTTACGTTTTATAAGATAGTATGATAGAATAGAGGATTTTTAAACATAAGTGACGAAAAAAGATGTCTGATTTTTAGGAAAATCTTAACATAAGAACCGACTGCATTTCGAATACATTTTGAAGGTTAAAACGGCATTTTAGANCTAAATAAATCCCTGTACTATAAAAAACGGTTTGGTTTGTACTGTACTTCGGAATTCCGAGAAATTATGGAAAATAGCGGTGTGCCAACGATATTTCTTGATTTCAAGAAAATGCTTCAAAGTAAAATATTGTTTTGAGATTTTAAAAATACTACGTAGGCCGAATTATTATTAATAATTTTACTTGATTTATTTTTCGAATTAAATCTTACGATTTGAGCCAAAGTAGGATATTATGCAATAATTACAAAAATCCGCTATTTTATTAAATGGCGGGTTTTAACAAATTTAAATGGCGGGCAAAATCTTGTTGGATCTTGAGTCTGCATAGGACCATTTTTTAACACAATACAACGATGTTTGGTAGACTAAAATTCCTTAACACTCTTTGTTTAAAGAGCTTGACTTGAAACATGTTATGTGCATACATACCTTCAGTCGGAGGCCCTTTTCAAGGGGAACGCCTCCCCCCCTACCCCTAGATTCAGTACCAAGTATTTCAGAGTGCAGGGTGTCAAAAAAGTTCAAAATTGCCTAGGAGTTAAGGATAGAATAATTTGTTTTTGATTTCAATAAATGAAAGACACTGTCGCGGGGGTTGTCTTCGACTGACTTATGCCTCTTTCTCTTAATTCAATAATGACTGAGAAATCAATTGAAATGCATTGATGCAGAATAAATGTTCAAAAATGTTGTATAGAAATGTTAATCTATTCTAATTTCTTAATTAAGTGGGATGGGTATGAGAGGAATTAAGAGGGGTGAGTATGAGAGGGATTAAGTGGGGTGGGGGTATGAGAGGGATTAAGTGGGGGCAGTTTTGTTTTTGAACTAAGACTTTCAACATTTAAACTCTAGAATAATAACTAAACGCCAAAATTGTTAACTAATTCTTAGGAAAGGATGATCTCCTGCTAAAATAAGGCTAACAATTGTGATTTTGCTGCATAATTTCTTACAGGGAAAAATACCAAAATTTCTTAAACCATATTTTTAAGATTCCATGGTATCATAGTTTTTTT